CTAAAAACACAAGAAAATTACTCAAACTTTAACTAAAATTAAAATGAAAACGGAAATTATAAAAATAAAAACAAAAATATTCTCAGTTATACCACCATAAGACTGGTTCATAGTTTTTATTTTTTTTAAAATACCAAAGCGATATTTCAGATACTCATTTAGTTTAACTTAATGTTCTAAAATAACAAACTGAAATAAAAATTAGTTTTAGAACTTTCGTTGTGTGTTTTTGGTCTTATATAAACACATGACTAAAAACACAAGAAAATTACTCAAACTTTAACTAAAATTAAAATGAAAACGGAAATTATAAAAATAAAAACAAAAATATTCTCAGTTATACCACCATAAGACTGGTTCATAGTGACCGTGCTCTAAAAATAAAAAAGTTAAAAAAAAAAATAATAAATTAAAGTATCATAACACAGGTCCATATGAGCTGTGCAATACGTCTTCTGAAGTCAATATACTATAATTTGCAAGATTATATCAATGAATAACGACTACAATATCAGCATGTACGTTTGGAACAACATGAGGAAATAATTGTAATTTTTGGATAAACTTTATTTTAACAAGCATGCACGCAGTCCACTTCACGTCATTTTTTAAATATTTCAGTCTCAATGAACAGGTGTGTTACTCAAATGATTTCCATTTTAAAGATCTTAAGACAAAAACACGCAACAAGACCCAGCAGCAACATGAGTTCCCTGACTCCAGCAGCACCAGAACCAGCCAGACATCAATCTTCTTGTTGTTGGTCAAGGCTGTTTCTGCTCCTCAAGCGTGCTTTAATCTAGACTCTATTCTCAGCACAGCGAAGACACGGAGAGACGCATGAATTAAAGATGATGCTTTCATAACTCTCCAAAGTGCTTCTTTTCATGCACAGTCTTAGAAATAAGTTGAAGCGCTCTTTAACCTTCAGCCCAGCTCGCCAAAGTCCAAATGCACAAAATGCACATGCATACCTGCTGCTTGAAGCTTTTCCACTGGGAAATACAATCAAGCCTGATATTTGGTCAACTTAATTTAGTTCATGATGTTAATTTAGTCCCCCGGGTCTGATATTTTATTTTTGTGAGAGCCATTGTTTGCAGGAGATTACGAATCTAGCAGATTACTGTTCATAAAGAACACAATAACTGCATGATCGCTTTAGAAAGATCACATGACAATCAACATGCCGTTTAATGGGAACCAGAAAGTTCTGTCATTATTTATTCATCCTCGTACTGATGCAGACTTTCATGTTCGTATTTTATCAGATTCAGAACACATGCAATAGTTCATATTGACCACCAATGTCACGCTTCAAAACAGACCAAAAAAATAAAAAAACATAAAAATCTGATATATATATATATATATATGATACAGTAGCTCTATGTGAAAAATGTTCAAAGCTTGCAAATAGGACCAGGGTTATTTTAATATCATAATATTATATACTATTATATATATATCATACAAACTATTATATGGTTTATTAATATTTTTAATGAGTTTTTTTCTTTTTAGATTGTTTTCATTTGAATTTTTAGTAATTTTGTCGCGTGTTTGTCATTTTTATTAGTTTTTAGTTTAATATGTCTATATATCTTTATTGGTATATATTTTTATTTAAGCTTTAGTTTTAGTTATTATAGTATCAAGATGAACTAAATGAAAATGACAAATGCTTGGCAACTAGCTGAAATAAAAAAAAAAAAAATAATATAATGTTTTTTATATATATTTTATTTTAGTTCAAGATAATTTTATTTGAAGTAGTAAAAAATATAAATTATTGCAGTAGTAAATTATTTTACGGTTTTAGTTAACTATAACAATCATGAATAGGACAACATGATTAATTAAAATCAAAATCACAATATGATGTAAAAAAATAATAATAATATTTTTTTTCCTAAATAAACTTTTATTTTACAGTGAAATATTACAATAGCATTATTTCTTATATTGTTTTTATTCTTTTTTTTATTTTTATTTAGCAATAACAATAATTATTATTTTGTTTTATTGTCATATTGATACAGTCACACACTTTTGGCCAAATTGTGCAGCCTTACAAACAAGCACAGCAAACCAAGATTTTTATAAAAAAAAAATAATTTAAAAAAAAAACACGTTTTAAACCACACTAACAATATTTATCAGAAAAATAAAAATCACAAATATTTTTCTTTTTCCCCTCAAATTGTACAGCCCTAATAGAAAATCATATTCGAAAAATCCCACAAAATTTCCATGTTTTCAATATATGTATACAGGGCTTATATTCCTCAAAACTTACCATTTTGTGCTCCAAGGAAAAAAAAAAAAACATAATATAGTCGTGGAACAACACGATGTTGAGTAAATAATGACAGAATTTCCATTTGTGCAGACTCTGGTTATTAAGACATTAAATTATGAAAGGGTCTGCAGAATTTGAACATTTTGTGAAACGTTTTAGCATCAACATAAAATATTTCCCATGCATCACAAATCATCATCCGTTCCATCCATTTAAACGTCCAACACAGACACATCTTGGCTAAATATCTTCACAAACCAGTCCTCTTTTAAAGCGTCTGAAGGCCCTTCGCACAAACACAATCGTTCTTTCACACACAAAGCAAATGCAAAGCTGCTGGATGAAATAAAGAACTCTTCTATACATTTTATAATCTGTTTTAATACTGCATGATTATTTTGGAGAATAAAAAGGCTGTCATTATGAACACTGGACAGTGGCGATGATGCCAGCGAGATCCAGGGGCCAATCCTTTAGGAGGATTAGCTGGGATAAAATCAAGAAAAATCAAACAAGCCAAACAGGTTATGGAGTTTAGACAGTCACAGGGATGAAATGAGCTTAACCGGACGTCAGTGCACATGCACGCGGCTTATATGTTACGCCACAGTATGGATGGAGGAAAATTAAATCACAAAGCACCATTCTCATCATCAACCTCTGTGGGGTTTATAATGGCCCATACCGATATATACACAGTTAATATGTTCATATCGAGTATAATACAATGACAGACGAAAACATGTATTGCTGAACATGAATGGTTAATTTATACAATATTATAATGCATATATTTGTTTATTAAAAATACTGAATTTAGAATACCATGTAAAAAATATTTGCAAAAAATATTTATAAATAAATAATAAATGTGAATTGTTTTATTTATTTACTTATTTATAAATAAATTATATACAAATAAATACTGAAATGTGTGTATTTTTCTACATATATGCCTTAAAATCTCAAAGAAATGAAGTGATTTCATATACTGTAGCAAATTAGCAATACACCGATATATCGGTATCGTCCTATGTTTACTTGCTGTTTGTGATATAGTTTTTGATATAGGTGTTGTATAAATCAATAATAAATTGATAAAAATAACAACAGGCCTACCTGTGTTTCATCAATATATTTTGTCTACTGTTGCTACGGTAACCTTTAAATCTACTGCTTAGTCAATGGATAACACACACATTTCTGTTCATTTAAAAATACTCAATTTAGAATAAATACTATGTAAATAATAGTGTCAAAACATAAACATTTAGTTCTAAATAAAAATGTGCACATTATATTTAAACCAGTTATATAAATAAAAACAAATCTTTAAATAAAAAATAATAATTAATAACTAAATTGCATAAATAAATAGCAAATGTTTAGATTTTATTGTTTTTTTATATACATTTTTATATACATTTATATAAATAAAAAAAATATATATACACATTTAGATAAATAAACATAAAATGACTGCAAATCTACAAATGTGCTTAATCAATGGATAAATGCACAAATTTCTGTTCATTTAAAATACAGAATTTAGAATATGTAAAAAAAATTATAATAATATTTATAAATAAAATATGCATATTTTATATACATAAAAATAAACATTTATAAATAAATATTTATAAAAAATAAATCATTTTATAATATTTCATATATGTCTACTGTTGCTACAGTAATCTCCAAATCTGCTTAGTGAATGGATAATGCACAAATTTCTGTTAATTTAAGATATTAAATTAGAATAAATATTATGCAAAAAATCTAAACATTTTTTTAAATTATAATATGTATGCATATTTAAATAAAAACAGATATTTTTATAAATAAAATGCATTTATTATAAACAATATAGTTTTTTTTTTCATAAAGCGCATAATATAGTTTACTTTTGCTACAGTAACCTCCGAATCTACTGCTTAGTCAATGGAAAACGCACAGATTTCGACCGCTATGAAGTGATTGACTGTTTCTGGAGCTTCTAGATCTCATTCTCACCATCGCATTGAGCGGCAGCTGCCTGCAACATTTATAATATTTCATATATGTCTACTGTTGCTACAGTAACCTCCAAATCTCCAAATGTGCTTAGTGAATGGATAATGCACAAATTTCTGTTTAAGATACTAAATTAGAATAAATATTATGCAAAAAATCTAAACATTTTTTTAAATTATAATATGTATGCATATTTAAATAAAAACAGATATTTTTATAAATAAAATGCATTTATTATAAACAATATAGTTTTTTTTTTCATAAAGCGCATAATATAGTTTACTTTTGCTACAGTAACCTCCGAATCTACTGCTTAGTCAATGGAAAACGCACAGATTTCGACCGCTATGAAGTGATTGACTGTTTCTGGAGCTTCTAGATCTCATTCTCACCATCGCATTGAGCGGCAGCTGCCTGCAACATTAAGCATGATTCCTCAGTAAAAATGCGTTTTAACGCAGAAGCACAAGGAACGGACGATGCCTTTCCAGATGCAGTCAGGTCTGATTGAATGAGGAGAGGAGATGCGACAGCGGCGTTATCAATTCCCGTGACATCACTCCTGCATGTTTCCCATACAGCTGACAATCACTCAATGCATGCAGACATTCAACGACGCGCTACACTCGCGTAAACGTGAAGAAAGTGACTCGGTGTAATGACTGCGGCTGTGTCTCAGACTCACCCTGCTAGTTTGGGCATCCTGACAAAGCTGAACACGTCCATGATACGGATCGCCTCCGAACTCACTTCGATTCCATCCCCGCAAACGTCTCGGCGTGAATCGTGTAGAAAATGAACGCGACGGAGCTTTCCTCAAGTCAGTGCAATTGACAACGGGATATCCTGCATGGCTGCGCGTTGACGGCGGCGTCGCTTGCGTGAAACACGATCCGCGTTCCTCTCAGATTCACGTGCTCCACGGCTCCAGATGCCCTCGGCCAACTTTATTTAATTTCCCATCGCGGTGGAAACCGAACGCCGGGATTGGCGAGCGATGGAGGAGCGCGAGATGAAGCGAGAGACCGAACGGAGGGAGCGCAGGAGGAGCTGGAGGAGGAGGAGGATGTCAGCCGATAGACGCTCCATCTAATCTCAGATGTCCACATGTAATGAATAATCTCGCACGCGTGCAAAGGTCAGCGTCATTGCACGAGCGCGCGACGCGAGACTGGAGGGGAATCGAGAAGCGCGTGGGTGCTCCATGGAGGAGGAGGAGGGAGATATAGAGATGAGGAGAGAGGAGAAAGTTATTAGATGAGCAAAGAGAGAATAAACACCAGTGTTGCCAACTCTCACGCGATGTGCGATGAGAAATTACGCTACAACACTTTTATTATTAGCGGCGACAGTGTCAAAAAAAAACAAAAAAACAGCCACCATAAATGTAAAGAAACGAAGTTGCTTGTCAGGTTTTTCTAACAAGCAACCATATATTTTTAAACCCGCGATTTTGTAACGCGACTTAACAAAAAATGTTAAAAAAGAAGAAAAAAGTCGCGTAAAATACGCGGACTTGGCAACTCTGATAAACACCTGTGCGCGCAGGTTCTAATTTGTATTAATGCGTCAAGGTGCGAGCAAGACACATTGCGCCAAAAATCAGTTTAACCAATGGCGTGAGTTTGGGGCGGGGCTATTTGTCAGTGTGACCAATGGCAGGCGGGATGGTCCGGGAAAGGTTTCGAGAAGCGCGTGGGTGCTCCATGGAGGAGGAGGAGGGAGATATAGAGATGAGGAGAGAGGAGAAAGTTATTAGATGAGCAAAGAGAGAATAAACAACAGTGTTGCCAACTCTCACGCAATGTGCGATGACGAATTACGCTACAACACTTTTATTATTAGCTGTGACAGTGTCAAAAAAAAAAAAAAAAACAGCCACCATAAATGTAAAGAAACGAAGTTGCTTGTCAGGTTTTTCTAACAAGCAACCATATATTTTTAAACCCGCGATTTTGTAACGCGACTTAACAAAAAATGTTAAAAAAGAAGAAAAAAGTCGCGTAAAATACGCGGACTTGGCAACTCTGATAAACACCTGTGCGCGCAGGTTCTAATTTGTATTAATGCGTCAAGGTGCGAGCAAGACACATTGCGCCAAAAATCAGTTTAACCAATGGCGTGAGTTTGGGGCGGGGCTATTTGTCAGTGTGACCAATGGCAGGCGGATTGTTCCGGAAACGTTTTTAAAAACTGTCATAAATTTAGCAAATTTTGTCTGGTGACTAGTGGTGCAAAAAGTAAACAATAGTGAGCAACAATTGGTTCAGGAAGTAAAAATGCCATTTATAGTGCCCAACAATTGGTTCCGGAAGTAAAAATGCCATTTATTAAGGAAAAATATAAACTATTGCAGGGAGCAAATTGCGCCAAACGATAAAAATAATAATAATAATAATATATATATATATTTTTTTTTTACTTCAAATGAAAGTTTTTAATGCTGTGATTCTCCTTGTAGCTGGTTGGTTTGGTTCTTATAACGCTTTAAAGAAGTTTTTTTTTTTTTTAAATGAATGGAAAAAATACTTCCAGCGCTGCAGAAAATGTGGCTGGCACTAATGCCCTTGATTCGTCTTGCACTGTTAATTAATTATTTTTTTTCACTTCATATCACCTGATGGAGTTTGGGTTCTATGCCACTGTCACATTTGGCTTGCTTAGTTAGGGTTTAAAAGACTCTTAATATTCAGTATTATCGATTTATTTATTGGAGTGTCTATTTACACTAAGTGCAAATAGCCCGCCTTGTTGGCAGAGGCTATTTACACTAACTCCTCCCACCAACGTGTGGTTGGGCTAGACAGCATTGTAAAAGACGCCTGTAAAATAACGCCTCCAGTGGCGTAGTTAGTAAAGCACATTCCAACTACTTTTTGACGGGATCGACCAAAGTTCGAATTCGCCTTTTGCCGAACTCGTTCTTCTCCATTTTCACATCGGAAAGGCATTTATTTTCAATAAAAATGGAATAAATAATCAAAAAGTTTAAAATAACATGCCTCACGGGTGTTTTTCTGTTAAGGTTAGGGTTAGGTGTAGGGAGGGCTTTATTGTCCCAAATCGGCATCAATTTAATCATTTTAATAAATTTTATAATTTACACTCAATATGTTATTATTACGCACTTTTCTATAATGTACTAGGTGCAGATATCCGGCACTATTTGCACTAAGTAGTATAAACAGCATCTAATTTTACATAGTGTAAAATGAATCTATCGCTATTTGCACTTAGTGTAAATAGCATATCACTAAAAATACTGCTATCTGCACTTAGTGCAAATAGCCGCTGCCTTTATTTATTAAGTATATTATCGATTTGATGGTACTGACAATATCAGATGAGAATAAATGTGAACTGAATTGAGCTGAATAATTAAACTATTGTCTTATGTAGAACTTCTTTTTTAACTGAATCAAATTTGTTTCATAATCGACAAATTTTAAAACATCAATAAATCAACACTGAACTGAAGTGAGCTAACACTATTTCCAATTGAATACACAAATGACTCTGCAAGAAGAAATGACCGTGCATTCAGCTCAAAGCATTACTACACGTACACACAAATACACACATGCAAGTTTAGAAGTCAGTGTGATAGTTGCTTCTTTGTGGTATATAAACAATATAATTTCTCATAAATGAAAATATTTTATTTCATGACCAGATACATTTAATTATATAATGTATCTAGTTCAGTTATAAACTGAAAAATGTAGGTCTTTGAAGTCAAGAATAAATAAGTTACGAAACTGACATTAGTCATGTGTCACTCCAGTCGGGATACTGCAAAATTTTGCAATTTCAGTTTTAGCAACATAAGATATATTCAAGCTCTACCTCCAGCTCAAACTACTCTGACAGCAATGAGAAAAACACTCATATATTCCATATTCTGATTATATAAAGTTGCAGAACATGCATCTGTGTGTATTACTGCATGTGAATTGTATTCTTTTTATTTTTTGTCTTTATTGTAATGCATGTGCCACACTGTTCTGATTATATCTGGCTGCTAATACATCACAGATGTCCCACATGGGATTAACAAAACATCTGTCTGTCTGCCTTTGCTGTGAACTTCAGCACAAATATTACATTAGACACTGATTTGAACTGCTGTTCAAATCGAGCATGTTGTTGTTTAAGGCAAAACACCCCAGGTACATGAGGTTTAAAAAAATGTTCATTAATAGATATCACCATAATTTCCCAGTCGACTGAATAAATTAAGAAATGTAAATATTTTTTGTATTACACGTTTTCTAAAATGTTATGTTTAAATATGCAAATAAGGCATTATCTAATTAAATATGCACTAGTTTGCATACATTTCCAGAAGATAAATCTAAACACTGGATGAAGCAAGGTTCAAAATTATTTTTTGAGTTTGCTGACATATTAGAGTTCAAGGTTTTTACAGATGGGGATTTTGCATTTCTCTTTTTATGAAAATGACTCAAAAAAATCTGAAAATACTGTCAACGTGTTTTTAGAAATAAAATGTTATAGAAATAAGTCTGAATGATATATCAACAAACCCCTCAGTAAAAATCTTCAGAATATAGATAGGAATTAAACTGTAAATTTTGGTGTATGTCAGTGCTACTGAAGTGGAGAAAAAAAACCTCATTTTGAGAAAACAGCAATTTAAAAAAAACATATTGTAATTGAAATCTACAGACACAAATAAATAAAGTGCAATAATAAAATCAACAAATTATATATGAACAAACCCCTCTATAAAAACCTTCAGAATACAGATAGAAATAAAACGTCTCAGGTTACTTATGTAACCATGGTTCCCTGTGTAGGGAACGAGACACTGCGTCCTCTAGGGGTCGCTATGGGGAACGCCTCGTCGTGACCCGTGTCTGAAGCATACATTGAAAAAACACCAACTCGTTGGCCGGCGACAGCCATGACGTCACTACCGGAGCGACTATAGTATAAATAGGCGCCGGGAGCACACATCATTCACTTCTTCGTCTGAAGCTTGCGTCCGCAGCATGGCAAGAAACCTAGAGGACGCAGTGTCTCGTTCCCTACTCAGGGAACCATGGTCACATAAGTAACCTGAGACGTTCCCTTTCATGGGAACTTCGAACTGCGTCCTCTAGGGGTCGCTATGGGGGAACGCCTCGTCGTGACCCGTGTCTGAAGCAAAAATTGAAAAAACACCAACTCGTTGGCCGACGACAGCCATGACGTCACTACCGGTGCGACTATAGTATAAATAGGCGACGGGAGCTACACATCATTCACTTCTTCGTCTGAAGCTTGCGTCCGCAGCATGGCAAGAAACCTAGAGGACGCAGTGTCTCATTCCCTACTCAGGGAACCATGGTTACATAAGTAACCTAAGACGTTTTCACCAACTTCATATTTCAATTTGACTAAGCTTAAATTTCAAGGCAGCATTAAGTTGTAAAAGGTTTTTTTTTTAACAGTGAGTCTAATCCATTTAAGCTTGATTTTTGCCCAGAGCCGGCCCAAGGCATAAGTGAACTAAGGGGCTGCTTAGGGCCCCGTGGCCACCAGGGGGCCCCCAAGAGTACATGAAATGGCTTGATTTTTTTCGGAGTGTCTATTTACACTAAGTGCAAATAGCCCGCCTTGTTGGCAGAGTCTATTTACACGAACTCCGCCCACCAACGTGTGATTCGGCTAGTGAACATTACACAAAAGACAGCCAACAGTCATCAGCTCCAGTGGCGCAGATGGTAAAACGTGTGACTTGCTCATTTTGACACGATCGACCCGGGTTCGAATCCACATTTTGGCAAACTTTTTTCTCCCTTTTCAAATTTCAAATCACATCAGAAAAATGTAACATTGAAATTTATTTTCAATGAAGATGAAGGAAATAATCAAAAAGTTGAAAATAAAGTATCGGGTAGGGTTAGGGTAGGTGTAGGGAGGGATGCCACCTTATTGTCCCAATAAGGTGGCATCCATTTAATAATTTGAATTAAATTTAAAGTTTACACTCAATAAGTTATTATTGCATACTGTTTTATAATGTACTATAATACTGAGGTGCAGATAATTGCCACTATTTGCAAAAAGTAAAATCCTGCTATTTGAACATAGTGTAAATATAATCTTCGCTATTTACACAGTGCAAATAGCCGCTGCCGATTTTTTTATTTTTTTTGGTGATATATTGTGTCAATGGCAATGGTAATTATACAAA